TACGGTCTGATGTACATATATAGGCATATTGATCCCGCTTCCATAAGTGAAAAAATCAACGTGGATAGGAAAGAGGGCTAAGAATATGTGGTGTGTGTCTTTTAGTAAATAAACTGTCCTGAAATTGAGAGAATGATGTGGCACGAATTAGTGAACTAATTTCAAGAATAAATACACCATAACTTAAAAAATACAGAAGAGCATACAAGCACGGGGGAACTTCCTTCCACTATTATGTTAATGTATATGGCCTCATAATTGAATCAATTTGTTTTTCTATTGACAGGACGGATTGTTTAATACAAATGGTAGCAATATTGGAACACAATTTCTACAAAAGTGTGCCAACATAAAATTAGAGTGCAAGCATTTCCTCTTTTTTATTTAAAATGTTGAATCGTAACAAAAATTCAGTTGTTTCGATCCCTCAGACTGGCTCGTATTTTTTAATTTTTTTTCAAAGTTGCCCTTATTTGCACTTCAATCGGTAAATGTATATGGCCGAATAATTATTCAGTATTATTTATATGTCAGAATGAAATACTGGTACACAATTATTCTGAATACTCTACTTTTACATTGTCGAAAAACTAGATTGTTTGTCGTAGGAAAGACATCATAAAACCAGACAAAAACTTAACACGTCATGTTATAATGCTTATTTTAGCATAAACAGGATGACGTGTAATTGAGAATTACGACGTACAACATATTTTATTGTTTTGGAAACTTGAAATACAGTCGACAGTTGTTTAAATGACTTGCTTATCTATTTGCATATGTTGAGGTACTATTGGTATAGTTTAATGTGCCCGGTGATCTTATGTATTAATTATTTTGTTATGGTTCCTTTACAATCTGATTATTATAACATCCATATATTTGATAGAAATCGTGTTTTAATGATCCTAGTAACAAAACTTAATTGTAAGTATTGAATACTTTGTTTAGTAATTTTATAGGGTTATAACAGCGTTGACCGTGCGCACATTTTTATAATACAAAATATTCTTCGGTCAATGCTTTTGCATCCCAATAAATTTACAAAAAGAAGCATTCAATTCTTAATTGTAAAAAAAAAAAATTCGATTAAGTCACAATTTTGTATTTTAACATCAAACTTTCTGTAACATAGTCGTCCTTTCTTCTATTTCATTTTGCACATACTTAAACAAACTGCCATAAATGATATGTCAGAACAAAAGAGCGTTACACATATTTATTGTACCATTAAATCGGTGGCATTTCAAATTTCACCGAACCTTATCCTGTACTGTATTCATAACATAACATACCTATTAGAATGATTGTTAATTTGTTCGTTCTGGTGCATGAACTATTTTCAAATCGACGTTAAACAACCAATATCAATCAATCGAAACAATAAATCTGTATGATTGTCAATTTACGCTACAAAAAAGGGATATTATGTGAGATAAATTGAATGATGCAAAACTTTTAACAGCACTTTTAAAACATGCCAAAGAATATCCCACTTTAACCGGTAAAATGGGATACAAATCTTGCAATGTATATGCCAAAAACATTATTTATACGATATATAAGTCAGCTAATGCATATTTCTAGGTTTTTCTTGTCGTATAACAAACCTCGGGGTATCAGGATTGCCAAAAAAGACCTCCCAAAGGTCGGTCTTTCATTTGATCATTCCTGACACTCCTTGGTGTGTTGTACGACAAGATCAACCTTTAGATATGCTTTATCTATAACTTAACTCCTTACATGAAGGAATCGAATATACAAAACAACCGAGACAAATACACGAATTCAAATCCGAAAGGAACTTGTTTCGAGGAGAATTAAGAAAAACATAATAAGTGTATTCAATAAATGAAAGAAATATAATAGATTTAGATCCAACGCCGCAATTTTCACAAATTTTATCAAAGTTCACGTCCTTGTGGCATATAAACATGGACAGCAGTATAAATTATCTTATTAAGATTGGCAAATAACCGAGACTTTCAAATACCTACAATAAATGAAAATTAACTTGACAAAACTGAAATACAAAACCAAACTACAGCTGCTTGCAATGATTGAAGAAAATATACAGTCATTAGCTTTCTAACAAGGGAACAGTTTGTGATAGAAAATTTGCCAAACAATCGAACCGATTCTTATAGATTTTATTAAACATTGTCAGACACGAATACAAAACATGTCTTGTACGGTTTCTATTAACTATGATATACGGTTTTGTGGATACTACGGGTTTGCTTTCCAGTTCACATTCATTGTATTTAATCGAACCTTTGGGATTTGATAACTATATACATGTAATTGTATAAACCAAAATGTGCTCGATTAAAGTAGAAATAGAGTTTGCCTTAAAATTGATACATTTTCATTTTGTAACTCGAAAGATCCCTAATAACACTGATTTTGCACGTGTGAACAAGTTAAACCGCAACATATAACAAGCGTTGTTTACATGTCATTCTCGTCTTTGTTTAAACTTACAAAAGGGGTATTCCTTAAAAGCAGTCTTAGGTGTTTATGACATATGTTTTACTTATGACATTATCGTTAACTGATCGCGTCTTACAAGGACAAGCGGAAAGATTTATCGGATAGGAGAGAAAGTAAGGGTACAAACACAAATCTCTCATTCTATAAAGATCACTTCAAACTTCCAACGAATGCTAAAGACACAAATCCCAATTTACATATCCAACCTTCCTGTGTCAAAATTAAACAATAAACATAAAAATTACTATGTCTTCAATTCGTAAAAAATGTCAAAATTATTCGTTTATTGTTCGTCTATGAACTCAGTTGATATTTCACACTTGCCGTTGTGGCGTATTTGTTATATGTGTCTGATGAAAACAGTAGGCATGTACAGTCTTTTTTAGCACCTGAAATTATATCAAAAATTGACAGGATGTTTTTCAAGTGTATAAAAAAATAAGTAGAGTTTTAAGGGAAAATAAACACGATCTTTGTATTTTTGTCTGGTTAAAATATCACAAAACGCCGTTTTTTACTTTAAAGTTATAGATATGATAAGTCATATGAAATAGTGTTTCAACAAATTAAAATTATAGCACAAATAATTAATGTCTGGTCATTATGTCACACCATGCTTTTTTACTCGTTTCGACAATATGTCTGTAGAACTTGGCATGTGGTGCCTAACGTCCGAAATAGTTTACTTACATACTTGATACAAAACAATTTCTCATCAGATTTTTCATCGAATGTAATCAAAGTTAATATATGTACCCGTTTACTTGGTCATAATTGAGATTACATTTTCTTTTATCTTCAAGTGGCAAATTCGACTAAATTTTCGTTGTACATTTTGAATTTGCTTTCAACAATTGATACTCAACCTTAAATACAGGTGATGGAATAAACACTCACACTAATAAAAGTGTTATTCAGAACTTAGCAAAAGTAAATAAAAAAAACAGCAGAAGAAAGTTGTTTAAAAAAAAAAAAAAATAAACTGCTGCAATCAAAGAGAGAAAGAGAAAAGGGTCTTTGCTCCAATGTGATACTATATTAACACATATTCATGCGCTTTAATTTAACTGCACCCTAAGACATATGTGCTGCTTTTTCATTTCGGTTCAATACGTGTCAAGTCAAGCAAACCGTTGATATATATTATGCTGTATGATTGAGCCATGTTAAAACAATAAAAATTGCTTATTATTAAGAATGTCAAATACATAAAATAAGTAGATATAAAAAGCTGTGATAGGAGTGCCATTGAGACAACTCTCCACCCAAGTCACAATGTAATAAAAGTAAACAATTATATGTCAACATGGTCAAAGTAGCAGAAGTGCATACATAAACATGTATGTTGCACCGAGAAAAGAATGAATCTGTCTCTTAAAAAGCAAAAATCAAAGACCCGTAAAAAGGGAACGTTATGATGAAGACGAAGAACCACTTACTGAGAAAAAAAAACCCCATTCATTTTGAGATAAAATCCACGTTCAGAGGTGTTAGAGTGAACTGAAAAGTACGGAGTTGGAGAGGGGACGGCATTAAAATTGTTCTGGAAATTGAAACGGTTGACGAAGACCAGAATGATGACAGTGATATAGAAACTCTAATTTATGAACTAATGTCTACATCTACCATATTTGCTGTCCTTTGAGACGATGATGAGTTTGGTTACTTCTTCTTAAAAGCTCAAACTGAACGTTATTAGTTAAATATTCGTGAAACAGATAGTTGAGGAGTGTCTTATTAACCTTCAACTAAAGCTATCACGGAAAAGAATTTTATGCAAGTTTAACATCCACTATATTTTAAATTGATTGAAAGAAAGCATGGCCTCGTTCTTTATATATATATGCACTTATATTTGTGTACGTAATTGTGAAGTTAAACTTTCTGAAGATATTCACTTACATCAACTTAAATGTGTTGAAATGAGTACGTATATGTCTAATAGATCATTTGAATAAAAAATCAAAATGTTGGAATTATGCAAAATTTCGAAGTAATTTAAACAATGCATGGGTAATAACGTCAATTCAGTTTTCCCCTTTTGAACAAAACCAGGATTCCTTATTCTTAACTATCTGGATGAGAGTTCATCCTATGGGAAATTGTGTTTTTTCATTGTTGTTTCGTTGCTGTCTTGCAGAAGAATATCTGAAATCTTCGATTAATCATCAATAATATTAATGGCTATATTTTGGATTAATCAAACACTCGTTTATTGGCAAACAAACACCTAATCGTTAATCTGAGCATGGAACAAAAACTTTATATAATTTACTCTATAATGAAAGAAAAGATGAAAAACTAAGAAAAATGGTTTATTCCGCAACGCATGCAAAAATGTGTATTTCAGCAAATAACTTGTATTTCCAATCGATTATATACACGAAGTAGTCATTTAAATGCATTGTTATCGATTAAGTGGAATGTTTAAAAAACCAGGTAAAATAAATTGCGTCGTACATAAACACACAATTTTATAAGCGATGACATACGCTTATTTAAGCATACATTTATAAGGAAGTGTTCCCGACCTATCTTAAAATTGGTTTTCCACAAAAGGTGTCATATTTTTCTATTTTCTACATTAACTGAATCATGGACGTTCTACTATGGTTCATCATATGTTTAATATCTTATCATTTACCAGCTGTGGAATGTGAGTATTTATAAATATATATAAACAAAACGATACTCTATTTGTTTGATAATATAAACTTATATAACACTTAGATATTTAATATGATTGTTGGTCGTATTAACGATAGGTATCCATACATGCAGTTGATCACCTTTACACAAATCTTGTGCTTTTTTAATTTCAAATCTACTCAATCCAAATACTTGTGTCTTTGTACCTCGAATTTAACTTGCCATCCGATATCGTTTATCCCCTTTATTTGTTAACATTGAACATATGATTTTGTTCTTCAATCATTCTTTTTCCAATCTGTTGTTATGAACTGCACTGCTAATGTATGCTTCTTGAAACATAATTGCAAAGGTAAAACGCATACATTTCTATCTTTATATATGTAATATTGGTCTTCAAATAGGAAAGGGAACAATAGTATAACAGTAACCGTGTATACAATTTTGCATGTTCCTTTTTCTCATGATATGTTTTCTTTTTGTGTGTGTGTTTTTTTTTACTCGAAACATTGATTTAGATTCATGCACTGTACCTTTCACAAATGAGTCGTTTCGGATATTTGAGAAAAAAATATTTCATACATCGTCTTTAATTGTCCTGAAAATGAGAGAGTAACTCTTTGATAAACTATTGATTGAACTTATGGCAATCTCAACAAGAACATGTAGATGTTACTAATAAGCAGCAATATTTATATAATAGTTAAGTATAACAGCTTGGTTTTATCTGACCAGAATGTACAGGAGTATGAAAGGTCCAGCTTCAGTGTCCACTCATATACATTACTTTGAATAGAAAGTTTAAAGTTTCTACTTTACCATCTCCTTCATAGATACACATGTATATGATCATTAATGCAGAAAGGTTAGCATAGATACAAGAATGTTTTTCAGTTTGTTATCAAAATACAACTGTTATAATAGTGCTTTACATAAAAACGGCTATAATATTTGCTATGATAAAGTTTTGTATTCTTGTCTTTTTTTAATGTGCTTTGTCTATATGCCTTTTTGTTTGTCTTTGCTGCAATATTTGCTTGTTTTTAAGATTAAGATTATAACACAATGTTGACTGCTGCACCCTTATTTTGGACATTTTTACCTATTATGTCTGTTTGGTTTGTTCACACATCGATGTCAATATAATGGAATTGTATGGGACTGTCATACAAGTGAGAGGTTAAGCTAGCTATAAAACCAAGTTTAATACACCATGTTTTAAATAAGAAAAAGCCTTTACCAAGGGCCCAGTGAAATAATCCCCCAATCACTACCAGTTACCCTTGACCGCCACATGAGAACCAAATCTGACTTGGGTTCTCACCTTCACAAAATTTAAATTATTGAAACATTGTGAAAAAGTTGATTTTGTTGTGGTTAGAAAAGACTCACCCCCCCCCCCCCCTCCCCCCCATTGTATATTATTTAAGAAAAAATGACTTCCAGTTTGTGATAAATGAGTTCCATCTGTTCTATATAAAGACACTTCAATTGATCCAATGTTCTCATGTGGAATAGCTTTTCCCCCATTTTCTATTACAAAGTTTTTGACCACCGAATTAACTCTTTTCCTGTTCTGTTCGATTATTGGACCCGCATTTAAGGGTGCAAAAATGCAGGTATCTGCGCTTTAGCATTGAAGACTAGTTTATAATAACATTTTTGAATAAAGCCTTGTACAGTCTTTGGATGGTGTAAACTTCCCACTAACACCATACACCATTATACCATTCACCATACACCATTACACCGTACACCCTGTACCATTACACCATACACGTTACACCTTTGCACCATACACCTTACACATTACACTATAATGCAATTTAATTTCAAAGAAAGCGTGCAACTACAAAATTATTTATTTATTATAAAAAACGAATTTTGATCACAATATTGTAAATTAATGTATAAAATTAAAAATCAGTTCTTATCAATATTTTGCATAAATGTCGTACACCATTCATTCACATTATTCCCTATCGCACGTTACACCATTACATCATTCCCCTTACACCATACACCATAGCACCACACACCTTCTACCATTGCACCATATGCCATACACCGTTACACCATACACGTTTTTTTGGGACGTTTACACCATCCAAGGGCTGTAACGTAGGATAGAACATTTTACATTTTCAATTAAACCCTTCCCTGCCAATTCTTAATCTGTCAAATCATTAGCTCCACAGTGAATAATCCTGAAATTAGGAGAAGGTAAAAAATGTCCTTTTCGCGTCCAGTAGGGAGTCCAAAGTGTTTAACTGTAAACAAGGTTGACCAATCCAGTATGTTGTGACTCCTTTGGACCTCAGTCCAAGGTCGGTCCTGCCATATTTCTTTGTCTCTACATTGGCCCAATGAACAAGGGAACTTCCAACAATCAATAAAATCTTGGGACCTGTGAAAACTTGTAGCTTGTTAGCCTTTTTGTAACTAGAAAAATTGCAACCTATTATAGCGAGAATAAGCATGCGATTTCAATCTGCCTAATTCATAATTACCTCCTCTGAGACCCCCTGCCTGGCAAGGTCAGTTGCACCCCCAATTCTAAAACTATGTGACCTAAAATGACCTTTACTGACATGAAGAAAATTTAAAGCCTTTTCCAGTATACTGCTGAATTGGTATCTAGTTAAAAGCATACCATTATAATGTATACAAAAATCTTTATTGTTACAGGTAGGTCGTACCTTTAAGTAGTCGTTAATGACCACCTTACTCTCAGCTGCAGGACTTTTTTTTTAACTAAAATATCAGCAATTGTCAAGTTGGAGCCACTTATAACAGACTTTTTTTTAGGAAGAGGTGATTGCTTCTACCCTAAGCAAACCAAAGAAGGCAACTGAAAAAAACTGCTGAAAATAAAGCAGTTTCATATTTATTTTCACATACTTTATCTAAACAACGTATCATATCTGATAACAATTGCACTGTAGTTGGTGCTCTAATGTCATTACGTTTCCATCCTTGTATTCTTTTAATTCCCACTAATTCCTTGCCAATTATAAAGAATTTTGTAGTATCCTAAATGCGTTGTATTATATGATGATATGAACACTCCTGATATATAAGATGATATGGTACCCCCTGAGAGACCTTGTAGTGACAAAAAAGCTATAGAATTTAGCAAATCATCAACTGGCCATAGCTGTTTCAATTTGTAAGATGATCTAAAATTACAAAGTTTTGACAGAGCCAATTTGTATGATTTTTGTGTATTTTTTGACACACCTTGGTTGACATTATAATCCGCCACCTGACTTAAATGTTCCAGATCTGTGTTGGAATTTTGGTTGGACACTGGTCTGATTCTGGAGCGAGGCCTCTGAATTTTTCCCACTGAGAACGAGAAAGACAATCAGCATTTTTTTTTTTTGAAAGGATACAAATTGCCTTAACTGACGTATTATCTTTAAAGTTCATTAAAACCATTTGTCTTACTAAAGTCATAACTTAACTTGATTTGCTAGTTTTCATATTAATGATTTGAACAACAGCGTGATTATCAACATGAACAATAACTTTTCTGTTAACAAAATATGATCCACAGGACATAAGTGCTGCTACAACTGGAAACAACTCTAACAATGTCATATCTCTGGTTATTCTAGTTTCAACCCAATGTTTTGGCCATATGCATTGGGCCCACTGACCTGCAAAAAAGATTCCATACCCACCTTTAGAATCAATTTGGGGGTCCCGGACCATTTAAGCTCAAAATATTACTTTTAAATAGGTCTGTAACAGGGACCATTTTTCAATGAAATGATAGGGAAAATAGAGGTGTAAACATACTTTTATCGGAATAAAAAAAAAACTGTCTGTGACACTTGGTCCAAAACTGTAATATAGCTTCAAAGAATAAGCAAATAAAAATAAAGGTCACCGATAAGGAAAAAAACAATTTGCCTTAAATCACAAAATTTTGGCGGGAAAATGGTGAAATTAGGTGAAATATAATTTTGAGCTTGTAACAGATACACATAATAACGATAATAATTTTTTAGTGACAATAATACAATAATTTAACATTTTTAATCAATCAAAATATTTAAATAATAGTGAATTTACGACACAAACTTTTCGTGTGCATGGTAATTCGTGCGTGAAATTATGCGCAGTCGAATAGTCCCGATCCCCCATAACAGACTCAAACGCACGCAAGCATAATCTGTCTTGTTTATGTTGACATTACTTATATTTGATGTGTTTCCTTCAGTTTTAGTTTTTAACCCGGATTTGTTTTTTCTCAATCGATTTATGAATTTCGAACTGCGGTATATTACTGTTGCCATTATTTAAACGGACGCAAGCAAAATCTGTCTTGTTTATTTTGACATGATTGAACAGACGTATCATAGTATATCGTGAAAGAGTTTGAAAATCTAAAAAAGTCATAAAGTTTTTCTCTAGTGGTAAAACCAGTCGATTTAAACTTGATCAGACCACAATGACCGTTTCAGATCAACGTTGAAATGTTGCTACTAGTGACATGTGTTTGTTTTTATAGTGATTAAGGTTAAAACACAATGGTGACTGCAGTATCCCTTTTTTTACATGTTTACCTATAATGTCTGTTTATTTTTTTCACACATCATTGTCAATATAATGGAATTTGATGCGACTGTCATACAAGAGAGAGGTTTCGCTAGCTATAAAACCAGGTTTAATTCACCTTTTTTGACATAAGAAAAAGACTGTACCAAGTCACGAATATGGCAGTTCTTTTCATTCGTTTGATGAGTTTGAGCTTTTGGTTTTTTGTTCATTTTATAAAGGACTTTCTGTTTTGAATTTCTCTTGGATTTTTGTTGAGTATTTTTGTGATTTTATTTTTGTTACAAAATTCATATTGAAAATAAACACTCTATTAGTATTCATAGTTGAATGACAAAGGATTGTTCCATACATTTAATCATAGCGCTCCTAAATTGATTGTTCTCGCCTGCCTTAGGTACACACAAGGTAAACCTAACGCCGGGAAAATTTTTCTTTCCACGTATCCATATTCTATTTTCATTTCATTTCTATATTCAGATAAACAAACGTTATAATGAATCAGACAAAATGCTAGAAAAATATTCAAAGCCAATAGGAAAACACACTTTCTACGGTGAATTTTTATATTTATGTCTTTAATTTTGCTTAATATGTGCTTGTCTGTTTGCCATTGTTTTTGTCTTTATTGACATATTTGTTTGTTTTTATATTGATTAGGATTATAACACAATGTTAACTGCTGTACCCCTAATTTTGACATTATTTTGCCTTTAATGTCTATTTATTTTGTTCACATATTGTTGTCAATGTAGTAGAATGTTATGCGACTGTCATACAAGTTTTATCCACCAAAATGCATGTACCAAGACTGAAATTTGACTGTTGTTGTATATTTGGATGATGATTTTGAACTTTTGATTTTGCCATTGGATGAAAGACTTTCCGTTTTGAATTTTCCTCTGAGTTCGGTATTTTTGTTATTTTACTCTTAAGTCGTTCTTGTCTGCTTTTATATATGATGCATTGTGAAGTATTTTGGGATTAAAAGAATATTTGATATTTTAACATCGAATTCCAGGTAAAGTGGTCCACCTTTCTTGATTCTTTTTCATTTTGAACATACTTTAAAGTGTTGTAAATAATAACAGGCCATTGTCGTGTCTGAACATTATTTAGTTTACCATAAAACATTTAAACTTTAAAGTTTAAAAAAGGTACAGTAGTAATATTTGAATATTTATTACCTTTAAATGGTTTAGTATTCTTGGAAAAACATCATTTTCTTCAGTCAATCACAGCATATAGAGAACAATGGACGTAAGAATGTGGTTCAGCATATGTTTTATACCTTATCATATGCAAGATGCGGCAAGTAAGTTATTTATTGTATACCTATATTATGTAAAACTTAATTCATATTGTGTACTGTAATACATTTTTACACGCCAAGCCACCATTATTTAAAACCCTGCTTTTAAAATGAAAAAGAAAATCATTTGAAAATTGTAAATGCATAAGCATCTTCCGTCAGAATAAAATTTTTCGGCTTTTGAATTATTTAACGAATTACCCCATGGATTGAAAGTTTAATATGACAGCCTTATAAGGTATTTGACAACTAACGTTATATCGTTTATTTGAATTCTAATAGTAGTGTGGATATTAGTTTTGATATTTTTTCAGCTGTACGTGAAAAAGTTCTGTTTGCAAATGCCATTTCAATTATGGAAGTTGATGTTGATACAAAAGATGTGGCTGTACTTATCGGGCATGGGGATAGTCATGGAGTGTTATCTTTGGACTACGATTCTCAAAACAAATACGTTTATTTTCCAAGATATAATGCAATGGACATTGTGCGGTAAGTTTACTTGTCTACATTGATAGAATACATAAAAGTGTTATGAAGAATTAAATTAGATAAAATTATAGGTTGAAGTAATAAATAAGTGAAATTTCTATGAGCAAAATGGTAAAAACAACTCCAAAAACAAGCTTTGGTCCTGTTTCGATATTTTCAACCATGCATAAGTAGAAAATTAAGAAAAAATTTCAAAAGTCTATTTTGAAAAGTCAACACGCTAACATGGATCTTAAACAACGCTCCATTATATTTTCTGTTCTATAATAATTACATAAACCAATAAAAATTCAGCCTTCTTTTTTTTGTAACATTACGACAAAGCCAAAGGATCCCAATAGGTCTTCAAACTTGAAAGAGAAATGGAGCATTGCCAGATTCATCTTTATATAGCGTAGACACAGGATCTGATAAAAACACCTTTTTCAACTTTTGTTTAATTAACAGTTACTTTATGACCATTGCGTAGCTGTGAATAATCAGGTCCATTCATAAAAATACAATATGTATTAATGAAAATTGCATTTAAGATGTTTCGTTTTTTTTGTGTATTATTTTGATTAGTTAAATTGAAAAAGTTTCTAATAAACGGAGCGAAAATTCATGTATAAAAAATAATCACAAACAAATAATAATGTTTTCAAATCTGCAGATACAATTTTGTTTCGTATTATTCATGTTATTATTTTCTAAATTGCTTATTATCTATGAATATCCATGATATTCATCATATTTGCTATACATCCCATCTAGAATTGTTTGTAGGAATCTGGAAGCTGTTTAGAGATTTAAATTTCCGGTTAAATTAAGAAATGCTGATATGTGCAATATCTTAAACTTTGAATTGACATTAAAGAAAATGACAAATTAACCGTGGAATTATTTTTTTTTCATTTCCTGGAATACATTATTTTTGTAAGTTTTGCTGTTAACGTTTTATTCAATATTCAATTTTTAGAAAATTAAATGAAAATTGTTGCACTCGAAATTTTTTTTTTATATTTGAATTTTCAAAAACAAAATATCAAAATACTCAATTATCAGGAATGTCGAGCATAATCCATACATAGAACACGGATGTAAAGATATGATAATATCTCACATAATCATTAGAAAAAAGGCGAGGTAAATGTTGTTTTTTTTAAACAATTTTAGACTCGTCATTGATTTATAAAACTACAAATTTAAGGTTTAGTTGCATTTGTTGCTACATTTGTCAATTTCAAACATTCGTGGCCATTTTTTCTTAAGTTCCAATAAACTGGCAGTCATTGAATAATATATATCTGAAACTACAATGTATATTTTTGCATTTGGAATCCATAGCATTTTGTCTCAATCGTACTTGGTGGGAGTCGACGAACCCGGTTCTGCTCGTTTTTTAGAGTTTACGACATTTCAACAATAGTTTTGTGGTTACCTCTATCTTTATCTCTTAATCAATTGATGATACTAATACTTAAATATACGCTTAACCATTTAACCTACCTTCAATTGTATATAACAGCGTACTAATAATAAACTGCAATCACAAGTACTTCTGATTTAGAATTAGACAAAAAAATTATCAATTGTATACATCAGTTTTGTAATCTATCAATGGTACATATAACAGCTTGTATTCAATGCCAACGTTGTCTACATATTTTACTAACGTAGGTAGTCATAGCTATGCATGCTACTTAGAAATAAATATAATACAAATATGTATGTTTGTATTGTATGTTATATTTGGTATTCCACACCGTGCTTATTACAGTGACTATCAAACTTGATGTTTATTTGTATTCAGCATTTGGAAATGGCAAACATTTCTGTATATTGAAGGATTAGTCTGATCATGTCAAAATTAAAAGTTAATTTCATTAACACCTGTTAGCACATTTTAGTTCATTCTGTGAGCTGATAAAGGTTATGACAGATAAATTCATCCAATCATCTTATGAGATCATAAGCAACCACAAGCAACCACACGTTGATTAAATTGTTTTCTACAATGGGTCCGGAAAGTGTTTAATTGCCAAGTAATTAGAGAAATGTATAAATGTGCATCTCTGCCCCTAGCCACATAATTAGAGAAATGTATAAATTTGCATCTCTGTCTCTGGCAACAGTTTTTTTTTATTTTCATTTGGGGGGGGGGGGGGGGGGGGGGGGGGGGGTGGAGGGCTTTTATCTTATCAGGCGTGTTTGAATTGATCGATTTTTCCTGAAAACTATAATACAAAAAAATATGATATATCTGGCTTTAGATTCGATTGGTTTGTATATATATACATTGTCGAAATCTGGATATGGTGTACAAAATGTAGCACCTCATGTTTGCGGTTGACCATCTTTGCCGCAAGTTTATTGTTTTCTATTTGTTATTAAATTAATATAAAGATCCACTTTGTTACATCATGTGATTAATTTATTTGGAAATCGTCAATGGCAGTCAGCAGGGTTTAAGAACATCACTTGTTCGACCTGTTAGTCAAATGCGTTTTGTTAAAATATACTTTTTCACTTTTTTGGTCTTTTGGAAAATGTTGTTTGTGCTGTATTTAGACCCCTCTACAACGACATTTGTTTTACATGCACACGTATAAAAAATGCGGTTTTAATCCAACACAATCATAGGTTTGAACGTTGTTTTCAAAATAGTCTAGATTATATTTATATATCATATAGATGTTTATTAATTTCATCTAATTTATCACTTAAATCATTTCAAATGGGGAGACAAGCAAATTATGGTTGACTTTTCGTATATTTAAGCATTTGTCCATTTCTGTTGATGAAACATACTAAAAAAAAATATTTGGAGTAATTAAAAACTGTTGATCATTGTTGATCGTGACTGCAGTGTATATATTTGCCATGAAAGCTGTTGATCATTTTTATATTCTGATTTTGTTACAGGAAGGCAAATTAAATTCCCAATTTAGTGAGGATGTGTTTTGCTTTTGCGAATAAATCTTTATTTAGTGAGGTCTGATACCATAAACTACTAATTAAAGTAATACCATCGCTAGTGATTCAACTTCCCAATTATCAACTTTACATTTCTCAGCAGTAACATACCCTCTGCCCCTTTCGTATGGTGTTTACATATCTCAGCTGATACGTTTTGCTCGTTCACACTATACGGACTTCATATACAGAAGTGTGCTCCTTACTCAGAAACTGCTCCAACAAAGTTATGAGGAGGACAGATTAAAAATAACACCCCGTAAATTTTATGGACACAATCACGTATTGGTTGATCCATACGATGTGTCTTTGTCCAAACTAACTAAGGACATTTTTACCACGTCTTAGATTGTGGTTTGCCATAACATCGTCTGATCTTTTAAGTATCGAACGTGACTTATTCCCGATTATGACTGTTTTGCTTAGTGTGAATTCGCATTGCTATAAGACGTGTCACGGTATTTGTCTATCCAATATTCATGTATTTAGTTTTGATGTTATATTTGTTATTCTCATCGGATATTGTCAAATGTCTTATCGTTTGTAGTTGTTTATCTTATTTTTTCTGTTCTATTCATGTGTTAGGGTAAAGATAATTAACCACCCAGTTCATTTATAAGATTTTAGTTTGGGTCAACTAAATTTACACGATGTATTGGTTTACAGTTTAGCTAGATAATATAAGAATTATCTAATTACTACCACAATTTTATATTAATAAGTATTGTAATTTTCATTGTTATTAATACATGTAATATCAGTTTTACAAACCTAATCTTGAACTCTATCCTTTTTTTTGGGAAATATGTAGAAATTTAAATGTGACGTCACTTTTGTGCGTCGATTTCTTTGGCTAACATATAATACGTTGTTCATCTGTGTTTTTTATGTGCTTATTTAGGTTGTTTTACATATTTGTTTTTATTCTGTAGTTAGTCATCACTTCGGTGTTAACATGTATATCTATAATATGGTCATTTTTGTGGATTACTGTTTGCAAAAGTATAAATTATTCTAAATACTAAGGATTGTCTTGTCCCAGGCAGATAACCTTAGACGTATTTGGCACAACTTTTTGGAATTTTTGGTCCTCTATGCTCTTCTTCTTTGTACTTGTTTTGGCTTTCGACCTTAATTTATCTGAGCGTCACTGATGGATATTTTGTAGACGAAACGCACGTCTGCGTATTAAATTATAAGCCTAGTACCCTTTGATAGCTATTATTTGTTTGTTTATCTGTCCTGTTTGTTCTCCCATTTATTTGTATTGTAGTCCTGTTCTGTAATGTTGTCATTTCAATGTTATATTTAACATTGCCATAAAAGCGGGAGGTTTGGCTAGCCACAAAACCAGGTTCAACCCACCATTTTTTTTCTAAAAAATGTCATGTACCAAGTCAGGAAAATGGCAATTGTTATCGTATAGTTTGTTTCTGTGTATGTTGCATTGTCGTTTGTGTTTTGTTCACTTCGTGTTTCGTCGTCGAAATGTACTATATTGTACTGTTTATTTGCGTAATTTTCTGTCCCGAATTTTCTTGCATTTATTTGTACTGCAATCCTGTCATGTAATGGTGTCATCTTAGTGTTATATTTAACATTGCCATACAAGTGCGAGGTTTGGCTAGCCACAAAACCAGGTTCAACCCACCATGTTTTTCTTAAAATGTCCTGTACCAAGTCAGGAACATTGCAATCGTTATATTATAGTTCGTTTCTGTGTGTGTTTCATTTTAGTGTTTCTGTTGTGTCGTTATTCTCCTCTTATATTTGATGTGTTTCCCTCAGTTTTAGTTTGTAACCCGGATTTGTTATTTTCTCAATCGATTTATGAATTTCGAACAGAGGTATACTACTGTTGCCTTTATTTACGTTAACTTTTGATTTCTTATCTAGATTCCCATATCCCTCACCTAGCAGAACATTAGAACATGTTGTGAATACATCGGCTAATCCAGTAGGAGTAGCTGTTGACTCATCCAATGATCATGTCTACTGGGTTACTCCTTATTATTATAGTGATAGTAACAAAGTTTCAAGATGCAAGTCAGATGGAACAAACGTAGTTGTATTTACAAGTCTAAATCAGTATACATTTATGATACGACTAGATCTTACAAACAGGTATAATATAAGTACATATTGTTAACACTGTCTTTAAAATATTGTAAATTTCTTTAAAGGATTAAATATCAAAAGTTACTAAATGCAATCTGTCATTTGCATACTTGACGGATCCAAACAATTGTGCAGTACTTTCTTTCCATTTTAAATCACCTGAGATCAAACCGGTTTGTTTTAGCAGGAAAGCATTTTCTGAATGCATAAATTTTATGTAGTGTATTACATTTTGTTATTCTCTGCACGTTTCCTAGTTTGTACTTAGTAGTTGCCTATTTTCTTTGATGTTTTTTTTGTGACTGAAACAATAGTGCGTTGCTTTTTTGAATGAAAACTATGAATATAGAAAAGTGATCCATCAATGTAATTTATAGATATTATAATCATACGAAATTTGGACGGTGAGAATTTGCAGTATTATTTTTTACAAATGCATTTTGTTTTTTTAGGGGGGTTCAAACTTTAAATTTATTACATGCATATTACCTATTTTGCGAATATAAAAATTACTAACTTTCGATAAATGATGATCAAAACACATACAACTGTATTGAGGACTTTCCGTCGTTTAACCGGATTCCAAAACTGCACATTAATACTGAATTGATAAATTTTAAGATAAGTATCAAAAATCAATAAAATAACTATTTCCCATCTCGGGGACACAACTTCTTGTTAAATGAAATTACTCAAAACAAATAGAATAGGATCCAAACTATTCATTTATAATCACATATCAACTCTTTTTCCCGGAAATCCAGTTGGCCCAAATTGATATGAACAACTTGTAATCTTGCATATCTTTAATTTCCATGAAGGTATTGCAATCAACAAGTGAATTATAAACTGATTTTTAAAAATGTTTGTAGCACTGAAACGTTCGAAAGAACAAAAAAAACTAGAAAAACAATCTATAGTATATAACACATTTTTCTTACCATTTAAGCTACTTGAAGGAAACATACGGTATGCATGTGAAATGCATGTCAATAAACCAACAAAAGCGCAAAAGATAACTTTCCTTTCTCAGATGACCGCCTTGATCTCTTGCCCAATTATTTCAAAAATGAAGTAACGCAGTATAATCGTCGATAGTTGTTTATTTGACAGAAATGAACAGTAGTGAATTAGTAGTTATATTTACTGCTACCAGTAAAACTAGTTTGTGTATGCAGTTGAGGTGTAATACCAACAAATCAAAGTACGTCACAATCGGTTGCATACGAAAAAGGGTCGGAAAAATATATTCCATTCAATTTGACGGTTGTAAGATATTAATTCTACATTTCATTGCAGCATAAAATTAATGGGCCATCAACATATATCTTTGGTATTTTATTTAGTGTTTCTAGTGAGAATAAATTTAGAAACCGGAGGTAACATGGTTTTTAAAGCTTGTATACATGAAAAAGAGATGGGATAATTTGATATGTTAACTTCCAGTGATGGTTATTTTCTTATAAGCAATGAAATGTCATGTGACATTTTATCTATAGTACTGGCCAGAAAAAAAAACTTTACTCATGCCAAGTATTTCTTTATTTGAAACAACGATAAATTCTGCACATATTTTGAAAAGTGCAAATTTCACCATGGTCACGAAGAGTAAAATGGGAAAATCAATGGTGGTATTACACACTGATAGGTGTGAATCTAGATTAAAAGCTTTCATTAGTGAAGTTTATTTATTCAATGATCCTTTGATAACTTTGTCTTCAGAATCATTTAATGTCCGTGTTTCATGTTTACTTGATCAGGTTGATCACGAACCTGTTTTCATTGTTCACAAAGCAAAGTTTGTTTTTCATTGTAATAACATTTTACTTCTATATTGATTTAAGCTGTTTCAGGGGTATAGAAAAAAAGAATTTTCTTATATTTTGCCAAAATGAAGATTTGACTAATATGTTTTTTTTTTCAAAAAAGAAAAAAAGTGTGGGTAACCGCCCTATTTTTAAGGGTACAAGTCGTTCAAAATTGTTAAAATTTGCTTAGATTGTTCATGAAACAGCATATATTTGTGCCTAAAAAGAAATCTATGAGACAGAATTTTGAAATAAAGAATGGGAAGATAGGTTTTATAATATATTTTAAGAAAAAAAAAAAAGAAAAAATGGTGTCACCGAACTTGTTTTCTTGCTATAATTAAATAATGAAAATTTCCCCATATGTTCGGTATAAATTTTGTACTAAAAGAGTTATCTCCCCTTAAATGGCTTATTTGAAAAATTGATTCTAAAAGCACAAATATTTGGTAATTGTTAGAACATTTTCGATAATGCAATGAATAACCCAGTTTTCTTTATATAAATAAACAGTGTAACCAATACATTGCAAATTTGGAGACAAATTTGCAGATTTGAGCACAGACCTATACCGATTATTTACTGTGATTGTACAATTCAAGATGGCGGTATACCACTGAACTACCTTAATGCCTAACTTTTATTAGTTACAGGATCACTGTCTGTCAAGCAACTGAAATATAACACTCACGCTAGTTATATATATATTCATTGACAAAGAGTTCTTGATATATGTCATTCGATATTCATCTCATAGACCGTCATACTTCAGATATGGAAATAAATAATAAAATTATATTTTGTTAAAAAAATATCAATTTCAAATTTGTTAAGATGTAAGTACAAATGACAAATGTTCTGCGAACACACTTATTGCACACTGACTACTATGGAAGTATATTTGTATCTGGTAGAGAAATGTCTTATTGGCAAACCTACCACAACTAATATTTACATAATCATACATGTTCGCTATGAAACTAGTCGAATTAAATATTTCTAAAATGTAAACAAGTGTTATGTTAATTACAAGATTAAATGCTCCTCGTAACACGTTACTTATAAACAACTTATGTAAGAGTTATTAAGATTATGTATTGAGTGTGTAGTCTTTATCTTTTTAATTATAAAAAATAATAATTGATTTTTGGCCTAGCAAATATCTTGTATGAATTAGTTTAATAAAATACTGTTCCAAGATTTATTATAATTTCTGAAGTGATTTTTCTGTGTGTTTTGAAATTATATATCAGTTATCTTCTATCTTACAGTTATTCCAAAAATCTTGATAAGATACTAAATACTTTTCATAAATAATTTGAAAAGAACATTCAAAAGCTGACAATTTCCACCTTTTTTAAAAGATATAGAAAATATAAGATGTGGTATGATTGCCAATGAGACAACTCTCCACAAGAGATTAAATGACACGGACATTAACAACTATAGGTCACCGTACGGCCTTCAACAATGAGCAAAGCTCATATCGCATAATAAGCTATCAAAGGCCTCGAAATGACAAATGAAAAACAATTCAAACGAGAAAACTAACGGCCTAATTTATGTAAAAAAAAAAAATGAGCAAAAAACAAGTATGTAACATATCAACAAACGGCTGCCACTGAATTACAGGCTCCTGACTTGGGACAGACACATACATACTAAATAGGCATGTTTATATATATTCCACAACAATAAGTACCAAATAACATAAGGTTCACACACACACACACACACACACACACACACACACACACACACACACACACACACACACACACACACACACACACACACACACACACACACACACACACACACACACACACACACACACACACACACACACACACACACACACACACACACACACACACACACACACACACACACACACACACACACACACACACACACACACACACACACACACCACATGCTATGTCCTTTTAATGGATTTCCATTATCTTTCAGTTGGATGTATTTAGGTTACTACACTACAGGAATATCCAAATCCAGATTCGATTTAACTGACATAAGTATGATAAAAAACTTCACATACGGCGGCTTTTCTCATGTAAGCTCCATGGATATAGGTAAGTGTCATGACAAGTGGTGTGTGCGAACTGATGTTTTTTTTTTTATTAATTTCAATTATAATCTTCATATTTTTCTGTGTGCCACTGTTATGTATGTGAATATATTTAGCAAAAACAATTGATTAAACAATTGCAAGTTAATTTCTCATTATTACAAGTTTTATTTACACCAATTGCAATTTTTTTTGGTAGGATTTGTGTTGCTCACGTTTCAATTTCATATGAAGTGGTGTATGCACTTGTTTGTCTATTCGTTTGTTTGTGTTTTTTCAAGGACAAGTTAACAACAGGAAATGCATTGAAACAGATAAGTACATTAAGTACTGAAGAATTCTGACAGTTAGCATGTAGACAGTGTAAATTATTGTGATGAATTGAATACAGTATATAAATATGTAACAGGGACTAAGTCGCGTAATTTTTTACCAGTAAAGAACCTGAATAACTTTTAAAGATTATGTTATGTACACCAAATTGAGTTTTGACTGTGTAGGTTTCGTTCAACACATTATTAATCAGTTGGTTATGCCAGGTCAGTATTCTAAACGAGAAATTTCTTCAAGAAAAGAAAACATGATACAATTTCACAATTTGTTAACCATACTATCCTGTCAATGCATTTGATCAAGTACCTACCTAAAGGTATGGTTTATCGCCTTGACATTACTTAATATAAAAATTGTATGAAATCATCTTGATATTATCTACACATTTGATAATTGATTGTGATGTGTATTCTTATTGCTCTTAGTTTTATGATCCAATTTTTTTTTAGAGTGTAACACGATTACAACAATACATTTTTGATCTGAACGCAATACACACATCGATTGTTAATTAATGAATAAATATTATTGTTTAAGAAATTGTTTTAATATATTTTAGACCTTTCTGAACAAAGGCTGTATTGGATGACTTACTATGACGGCATACAATCAGTTAATGTGGATGGTTCTAATGTTACAACAATCATTTCAATAAATTCACAAACTGCTCTTGGTGTAATTGGGAATTACATTTACTATACTGGAAATAACAATCAGTTATTGATGACGAGAAAATCACAAGGATCCACACCGACTGTCCTGTATAACGACACCAGCTATATTAGAGGCATATACGGGTTTTATTTAACAGGTATGTAGATAAGCTTAACATAAGGCTTACAGCATTACACATATTTAGAAGCTGACACATGCATGTCTTTAGAATCATTACACATTTCAAAAAATAGACATTAACAAAGGGAAACCGTTTCATTTGAGGATTAAAATAGGCAGAAGTCAGATATGAACCAATAAGGCCTATATTGAAAAGCCAAAAACAAAATAAGAAAAAGCGCACATCACGAACAATGACTAACTCCTGAAAATGAAAAGGGGCATATTGTTTGTTTGTTTTTTGACAATTCATTTGATTCGTTAACACAAGCAATGTTATAAGTACTCTAAATAGAAAGACAAATTTTATCCGTTAAAATGTCAAATCTGCAAAGTTTAATCACTCTTCTCCTAGTTACATCAATTATGAATCATATTGATGAATGACTATGCAAGTCAACAAACAAAATGCACGACAAAGATAATTTAAAACATGCACCTATTGCAAATAGGTAGTAGGGTGTCATATGTGCTTTGATTTTATTAGACTGTTAATTTAGTATGATGTCAAATTATCTAAATATTGTATTCATATTTTGATTTATGCTGTATTTTTACTTTAGCTTTGCTACTAATATATTTTGTTTGATTTGCGTATCGAGAAATATTTGTTGCTTTGTTATTGTATTCATTGCTAACATGATTTGATGTGTGTAGTATTAATAGCTTTATCTTTTCTATATAAATTTTTAACTTGTGTATTGCGGATTGCTTGTTGCTTTGTTATTGTATTCTATACTATCACAAGCTTTTTATTTATATTACAGTATTTGATTTTGTATTTTACTTTAGCATCTGTAGCTATTGAAATAACGACGATTTCATATTTTGCGACAAATTACAACATTGAAATTCTGTATTCGCATCTAAGCACTTATCTTTTTGATACATTAATTTAAAGTAATTTTATTAAGAGTTTGATTTCCTGATATAAGAAAAAAATGTATATAATTAGAAAAAAAATATTACCTCAGGACTGTTTCTCTGTGTGTTTTTAAGCAATACTTTTTAATAATGATTATGCATCATTAAAACAGTATAATATTTTTCGTTATGAATGACTTGAATGAATGACAACGTCATAAGTATTAACTTTGCATTCGGTAAGTAGTATTATATTTTTTTAATCTTATCTTTCACTTAGCCCTTTGATGAATATAAAATTCGAATCATTAAAGTCTTTTTTTTCTATAGTTACTATAAACAGTAAAATATCAAAAATACTGAACTCCGAGGAAAATTCAAAACGGAAAGTCCCTAATCAAATGGCAAAATCAAATGATAAAACACATCAAACGAATGGACAACAACTGTCATATTCCGGACTTGGTACAGGCATTCTCAAATGTAGAAAATGTTGGATTGAACCTGGTTTTATAGCGCTAAACCTCTCACTTGTATTACTGTTGCATCAAATTCCATTTTATTTATAACGATGAGTAAACAAAACAGACGTAATAGGTAAAATTGTCAAAATAGGGATACAGCCACCAATACCGTGTCACAATCTCAATCAGAACAAAACAAACAAATATATAACAAAGAAGCACAAAAAAGGAAACATAAAATTAAACGACCACATGCATTACTACTTATATATGTATTAAAAATTAACCCAAAATGACTGCATGGCGAGGTTCCGCTATACAGTTTTAACATTATGGTTTTATATGTATTTTCTATTCAAATTTGAAAATAAAGATAGCGCTACCCTAAACAAGTACAAATTCAAATAAACATACGTAGGTTAGATAAGTAATGACATTTATTTTATTTCAATATATATCTCACTGATGTATAAATGGATCGACGATAATACAACAAAGAAGAAAATAAATATAACCGAAAATGAGCAGATTGCGACCTCTGATGTTTTTCCGATCAATAACTGTAATGTAAAACTTAATATTTTTAATGTCTTATTATACGCAAGCAAACACTACAGTACTACATTAAATGTATAAATCAGAAAAGAAATATCTGCGGAAATAACTACTGAAATGAAGTGCAAATACTAAATATATGACATATTGTAATGGCGCATGTGAAAGTTGACACAACGAAGATACTTACACGATTTAATACAGAGCCATGTACACTCATAAGTATTGATGAAAGGGGAATTTTGACCGGAACCGATATATTACTTCAACTCAACCGAGTTATCGACACAACCGAGTTCAACACAACGAGGTTCGACTGTATATACTTGAGCAAACAATACTTTATAAAAGACATCACGTAATCATCGCGATTAAATTCAAGTCACCCGGAATAGTTACAATTAAATTCAAATATGCTTCCTTTAAGCAATATGTAACATTCAATAATATCGGATACCCACTCAATGTTGGTGATATGTATAAAGATAATAATAACATAAACTAAATCTTATTTCAACCATTCCGTATTGTATTCGTTTCATGAAAAGCAATCCGCCATTTTGCAGTAAACAATAACAATTTATTCTTTTTAAGTTTCGTGCAGCTTGTTTTCAGGACGATACACTATAGCTGTGTATTTATCACTAGAGTCCTTGCTAATGATAATATATATACTCTGTATTACAGCTGGCGACATGGTATTGTAGGTCGGCAGGTTCCATTTACCCAGGTCAAGTACGTATAAATTGATTTAGTTAACAATCGCTTTTTGTTTGTTCTGTGTTTCTGTGTTGTAATATAGCGTTATCATATACATGATAGAGTTAACTGTCTGTATATCCTAATGTTTGAAGTATTTTTGTTAATGTAGTGTTTTAATTATTCAAAATTAAAATTAGATGTGTTTCGTTTATTCATCAATAAAATTAAAAAAAGAAAATCGAATATGCGTATATTTATTAAAAAAAGAAATAACACACCAAACACATTTGTTTAAAAAATATTTTTACATACTATCGCCTTTACTGACATTCACATTGATATCGTAGTTCAATTTTTCAACATGTAGTTATTTCGTTTGATATTTGATCGACAACATTTCACTTTAAATTATTTATTTGTATTCGGTGTATTTGACTTTACAATTTAATAAGCTAGATTATCACCGTAAGAAAATGAAAGGTCGAAATGAGCATCTTGACCGAAAATCTAGTTGCCTGAAATTGATGCCGTTTTACTGATTCTTCAGTTGCACTTTGTGTAAGTTTGAGATCACGTGGTACGGCAGATTTGAATGATTATTGTAATAATACAAAAACTGAAAATTTACTATCTACTGCACAACCAGAATTGCATTCAATGATTGTAATAAACAATATCTGTTAATAATAAAAAGTAATGACAATCTTCCAAAACAGATTGTAAAATGGACGTAATTTGAACGAAATTGTATTTATTAGGACCAACAGGATAAGTTTAACCAGCTGAGCTGAAACTGTACACCTTTCCGGATCAATAGAGATCCCCCACAGTTTTTTTGTAGGGTTTGCGATGGCAGTATTTAGTTTGCTTCGTAGTATCTTGTGGTGTTTCGTTAATTGCAATGGATGTACCAGACTTTCATCGATCAATGAGTTTTAAATGTCCATTTGATATCTCCCGCCTCGTTCTTTTACAATTAAATAAGAGAATATTTTAACGACAATTGTAATGTGATTTGTCGTAAATAAAGTACCTTTCACATCTCTTTTCAGCAATGGACACAACAGCACGATAAAATAGAAGTGTGAGGCTAGCCGTTTACATCAACATGTCGTCAGAAAAAAAGACAAACAAGTCACTTTGCATAATCAAATATAAGTACGCGAGACCATGGGAGAGAGAGATTTTGACTATTAAGTAATGTTTTGTTAGGTTTTTAATGAATTACAAGGAATACCGAACCTTTAGGAGTCCAAACAGGGAAATTGCATAAAGTTTATTAAAATAGACAGTTTCGAACCAATACGTTCTATTAAAATATCTTTGTTGTTGAGAAGTTTTTGTTTAGTTAATCTATCTTTTTGAAATAACAATTCAATTGCAAACGCTATAATTGCATTCTTGATAGTCTGCAATGTGCAATGCATTGCACCAAATTTCTTCAAAAAATCTAGCTTTAACACCATGTACGTCAACTGGCGTTTAACATACACAGACTCATCAGTGGCTATTTACCCGTAACGAAGAATAACATATCATTTATTAACTAGTCATATGTGAAACTCAAACTTATCTTTTCGGATCACCTGAGTTTATCCTGGCATTTCGGAGGGATTGGTGTTGCTCAATCTTTAGGTTTGCATATATGTTTTAATATTTGTCTTTGATTGCCCCGTTGGTGCCTTTTCTGTTTTTTACAGCAAGGTGGACATATTTATACAATTGCAATCTTTCTAAAAGAATATTTCAAACGCTTCATTAGTCTATATTAAAGTTTTTGTTTCCATGAAAAGGTTATCGTTTTACACAGTGTATAAACATCATTAACTTTAACGTCGTGTTTTTCTTTATTTTTCCCGTCAAGTATTTACAAAAAGTAACTAACCGGTTGCTCAATTTCATGTTTAACAATAATCAGTGAAACCTGTCTAAACCGAATATTGCATAAACCTACAACCAAACATGTTCTTCAGTCCAGTCATATCAAACTTAATGCGTTGTGAATCTGATTGAACAGAATATCTGCCAAAACAGAACAAAATATTTAGTCTCGTCGAGGGTCGGATAAAACAGGTTTCACTGTATTTGAAGGGGTTTGTGAAATTCTTTCGCAGTTACTTAAATTAAAAAAATGAATGCGACTCTATAAATATAAGATAAATACGAAGAAGATAAGATTGCACGGTTTTAGACATCATACGCCAGTGTTAGTGTTGTTCTAGACAGCCTCATTTATATTTTCAGATACACAAACCTAAAAGTGAATAATGCAGCTAGGAAAAAAATGATCTGTAGGAGAATGCATAATGCTCAACCTCTTTGATTTTTGGATAAAAAGACAAACCAACAGAGTCTTGCGAAGAAAGAAAATATTTGCCTACAATTAGTAGCCTAAATTCAGAAGTGGAGCCACTGACTTAAACAAAGAATTTCAGAGTTAAATAAAACAATTATAGCACGTTGTTTATCAAAGTAAAGATGGACAAATGTTAAAATCCCTAGAACTACATTGTATGCGTATTGGTGCGATTTATAAACCGTATGTAGTCATTTATAATAATTTTACTTCTCATTTCAAAAATAGTTGTTTTTTCGTTCAGATTAAGGAGGTACTAACACGTGCTCGTTGAATTATAGAATGTAGATACACATGTTACTATTTTCGATTGTGAGATGTAATATGTGTATGCAACCATTCTAGATTAATTGAGAAATAAGTTAAAATTAACGTTATAATGCTGAATTAGGTCAATGCATAAACAGCAAATATTTTGTCGTAAAACATTACTAATCTTGCAATCTCGATGTATTTATCTTACTTTCCATATGTTTCTTTCCATACAATGTACACAATTCAATAAAAATTAAACACATTTGAGGTAAAAGTCACTCTATTCATCGTTTTTACCGATAAAATTTACTTTTATCTCCATTAATCTGGAACGGTTGCAGAAGATATAATATCTCTGAATAGGAATTAGAACATGTCTATTGATATTTTCCAATCGCATACAATTAACAAATAAGTTAACAGAAGTACTACATTTTTTATGTCTTTATGTGTAACGTCAGCGTAGTGGACATTACATGCTTTCGAGTCGCAGCAACTTTGGCCGAGGTTGTTACGACACAGTGCCTACATAGACAGATAGTCAACTTATACCATGACTAATTCCGCTAAAACAGGTGCTTAGAACTGTCTTTAGATTGAAGTGAGTGGAAATTATTTGCTCCGTGATGAAGGTCTTACTTCAATATGAAGAAGAACAACAAAAGTGCTATTCCTTTGCGTTCAGTGTTTTTGCCATTCCATGTTCTGAATGTGTATCTTACATGGATCCTACATTCCTATCCCTTCTCTTATACTCCGTATTGATCAAAAAGTAAGATTTAATAATACCTCACATTAGAAATATGCTGTTATGGATGATCTTTGATATTCTCTAATATTGTAGACCTTGGACAATTTAGTACTTGACATATCATTTAGAAGACAAATTGAAAGAGTTGGTATTATTTTGTTTCATTAAAAAGAATGGCGAACGTAGATACAAGTATCTTGTCTTGGGGAGATATAAATTCTACTTTGTAAAGAATCACTCTGATTCAAACAAAAAAGTCTCTGAAACTGACATTATCAAGATGCTTGATTTCTTGATTGACAACATATTTGTTACGTTTGGAGGACCTGTTTTTTCAACAGACTGTCGGAATTCCAATGGGAACCAATTGTGTCCCTCTTCTTGCCGACTTGTTTCTTTATTATTACAGTTCTTGCAACCTTAGGCGTTACTATTTTAGCGATCAAACAGCGGTCATCGATCAGTCACCGATCAGTCATGTTCGCGTCAAACTCACGTCACCGATCCGTCAGACTTATAGTAAAAATATTTGACTAATCGGACGGATTGGACGGATCGGACCGATTGACCTTTCTGACGGATTGAACTCTACATCACATGATGAGCTAACACAAATTACGGAATCTTAGTTTCGTTTTATTTAATAATTTAAATTGCGGGATGGAAAATACGAAACATTCAAGTACAAAAAATCATTATTAATTATTCAGCAAAGTTTAGAAAAATTAAAAAGGAAAAGAAATATGGAGATAAAACTAAATTTAAATATTGTTATAAAAGGATGGTTTTTATTTAGGTAATATATTTTAAACCCGAACAGTGCTAAAACGGTGTTTATCGCGATTGTGACTTTTTTATTTTACAAAAATGCTCTGGAAAATAAAATAAAATGAAATGAAATTAGTATTTTTATCCGTATTGTCTTAAATTTCTTATACAAAAACATATCTTGAGGCCATAAAAATATCAAATTACAAATCATTTTGCTGAGAGAATAAATATGGGTAATTTGTTATGTTTAAACAATGCGAATGACTTTCAGTATCTGTCCTCTGATATTCACTTAATTTTGTGAAAAAAACCATTATGATGTTAAAAAAACTAACAGAATCCAATACATTCCATTCAAATGAAGAAATGATTGCATTCTTATTCAATAAAAACAAAAGTGTGAATTTTTTTATAACAAAAGTCTTATCTTGAGAAGAAAAATTGGTAATTTTAAACAATGCAAACAACATTTTTGTATATTTTCTCTGATATTCTTTTACTTTTATGAAAAACCACCAATCTTAAACTATAGATAGTACAAAAATCCAATGGCGGTCAATTAAAACAAAGAAATGATTACACTTTAAAGCAACGCGAACAAAACTTTAATATCTTTTCCCTAAAATTCAGCATATTTTATGAAAAACAACCAATCCTGATGTACAAAAAGTACTGAAATCAACATTTCTATCAAAACGAAGTAATTATTGCATATGTACAGATGGGTGCGGTCATAACCTGTACAGAAGTTAACTTGGAGCAGACTTGTTGACTGCTTTTCAAGTTAACTTGAAAAATTTTAAGCAGACAAGCAAGTTAACTTCGTCGTTGGTAGACCAGACCTACGGTCTGCTTTTTTAGGACTGCTGCAGACCTATTGACAGGTCTGCTCCAGACCAGACCTGTGGACAAGTCTGCTTTTGACCAGTCCTGAGGACAGGTCTGCACCAGACCAGACCTGTGGACAGGTCTACTCATGACCAGACCTGTGGACAGGTCTGCTACTGACCAGACCTGTGGACAAGTCTGCTATTGACCAGACCTGGGAACAGGTCTGCTTATGACAGATTACCGTGTTTAAGACTTTTGATATCAGACCTGAGCTTTTAATATGTAAACAATACTCGCATTGTTCTTTTTTCCCAGTATAGCAAATTTCTTTACTCGTTAGACTGTATAAAATACACATTAAAAAAATTATTATTTTCCAATTCATATTCTTATATACATTAAACAATGGCTATAAGATTACACACTTGTGATCACATACAGCTATCATTAAAGAAAGGAAAGTTTTTATTTAATTAGAAGACGGATAGAAAGGTTATCCAACGCATCGGAACAATATTTTTTATATCATGGGATATCACCATCATTGTCAACGTTGCTTCCTTCTCCATTTTTTACAGTCTCTTCCTAAATTTAACTTTATGCATTACATAGATATTTCATCGTAATTCACCTTGTTTGCCTTTGATTTACGATTCTGTTTTCGACAAAATATTCTAACGAAAATTGTACAGTGTCCGGATACATAAGGCGTTGAATAATTACGAACATTCTCGTCAATTTCGTCAGATTTGTCTTTCCCGATTGAAAATGATATATGGGACTTCCGAAAAATATACTCGTTGTGCACATGAATGAAATAGTTGCCACTTGAGGTTTAGCTACAAACAAAATCAATCAACCGACATAATGTAATAACAGTATACTATTCCCAGAAGAGAACTTCTTATACTTTTCATTATAAAGTAAAAATGAAATCAGACATGTCACTTTTGTCAGTGTTGGATGATGCTGTCAAATAGTTTTGTTATAGAATACACACCTTCCTGAACTACTTACTTTAGTGATTGTGTAATATTATGAATACAGAGATGAAATGCTGACAATCTAAATTGATGCGGAAAAGATATTGCATTCATTGTTTTCCAATACTGCGTTCATTTGTATTATAATGCAATACATCCTGACATAAAACAAACTTCTGATTAAATATAATGCAGCCATATAGATTTACATACTAAAGTGCAAACAAATATGGTCAGTTTTAGTTCAAACGGTCAAAAAGTTTTGCTATACCAGTCAGCCTCAGGTATTAAAAGTACTGAAATTTTGTTACATATCAATATATTGAACAACAGGAGGACATGCTGGCACTCTAAATTTATGCGGACAAAAATGTGTATTCATTTTGTTCCAATATTACTGTCATTTGTATTATACCATGTATACATTAAATCCTGACATAACAATAGTTGCTGATTTACTATACGGCTATATAGATTTACAAAATAAAGTGCAAATATGGCCAGTTTTGGTTGATACGGTCTATTATGTTGCTATACAAGTCAGTCTGGGGTATCAAAACTACTGAAATTTAGTTACGTATCAATATATCATGTATATGGAACAAAAGGAGGACATGCTGGCACACTAAATTTATGCGGACAAAAAATTGTAGTTTTTGTGTTTCAATATTGCTGTCATTTGTATAAAACATTCATTCTTGACATAAAATTATTACTGAATTATTATGTGGCTATATAGATTTACATAATAATGCGCGAATATGGTCAGTTTAAGTTGATGCGGTCAAATATTTATGCTATACGAGTCAGCCTAGGGTATCAAAACTACTGAAATTTAGTAAAGTATCAATATATCATGTATATTGAACACAAGGAGGACATGCTGGCACTCTAAATTTATGCGGACAATAATTTGTAGTTATTGTGTTCCAATATTGCTGTCATTTGTATTATACATTTAAATCCTGACATAAAAATAGTTGTTGATTTACTATGCGGTTATATAGATTTACAAAAATAAAGTGCAAAAATGGTCAGTTTTGGTTGATGCTGTCAAAAAATTTTGTTATAGGAGTCAGAATAAGGTATCAAAACTTCTGAAATTGTGTTGCGAGACAATATTTTGATTAAAAAAAGACATGCTGGCAATCTAGATTTATACGGACAAAATTTTGTATTCACATTATGTTCCAATATTGCTGTCATTTTTATAAAACATTTATTCTTGACATAAAATTATTACTGAATTATTTTTTGGCTATATAGATTTACATAATAATGTGCAAATATGGTCAGTTTAAGTTGATGCGGTCAACTATTTTTTCTATACGAGTCAGCCTAGGGTATCAAAACTACTGAAATTTAGTTACGTATCAATATATCATGTATATTGAACAAAAGGAGGACATGCTGGCACTCTAAATTGATGCGGACAAAAATTTGTAGTTGTTGTATTCCAATATTGCTGTCATTTGTATTATACTTAAAATTATTACTGAATTATTATGCGGCTATATAGATTTACAAAATAAAGTGGAAATATGGTCAGTTTTGGTTGATACGGTCAAATAATGTTGCTATACGAGTCAGCCTGGGGTATCAAAACTACTGAAATTTTGTTACGTATCAATATATTGAACAAAAGGAGGACATGCTGGCACTCTAAATTTATGCTGACAAAAAATTGTAGTTGTTGTGTTCCAATTTTGCTGTCATTTGTATTATACATTAAATCCTGACATAAAAATAGTTGCTGATTTACTATGCGGCTATATAGATTTACAAAATAAAGTGCATATATGGTCAGTTTTGGTTGATGCGGTCAGATAATTTTGTTATAGAAGTCAGCCTGTGTATCAAAACTACTGAAATTTTGTTGTGAGACAATATTTTGATTAAAAAAAGGACATGCTGGCAATC